CACTGATCAATACTATGGAGCTGTTCACCAACCGTCAGCATGGCTTTTCTTTTTAAACAAAGTATTAGGTGTATAATGAATCAGTCATTCCTTGTCTTTCTCAACTCCAAACAGTGGTGTGTAGGAAAGTTTTTAAATAGCCCCAAGTGAAATGAATGTCATATTTATGCTAAATACAACAATGTACGATATTTTTACACCATCCAAGCTACTTCAAACTGCTTCCTGAAATTGGCCTTCAGCAAAGGAAAACAGTGCAGGCAATTAGAGGCTAATGAGACCCACTTCAATCCAGTGGTTAGTAAAGATGACGAAAGCCAGCACCTGGAAAAGTTAACGCCTCTGGTGTCAGCTAGGAACAGGTGGGAGGAAGCGTGGGCTGGAGGGAAAGTGGCCTCTTCAAAGCCTTTTCACAGCACCTTGGGGTAGGGAAGCACTTAGGCTTTGCAGAGAACCTGGTAGGAACCAACTGGGGATGTTGCATTTGGATGCTCGACTCCTCCAAACAGGTTGACTATGCCCATGTAGGCTCTGGACCTAGCTCTAGGACCAGATCCCTATCCAGACGCTGCCCTGGTGAGCTCTCTGGCTGCTCCCTGCTTAGCCAAAAGACCAGCCACTATCCATCCTCCAGGAAGTAGTGGCCTTTTGACCCTGTCGAATGGTCACTAACCATGCCTGCAGCTTGACATTATGGGACTGTTGATGGAGTAGTTCTGCTGTAGCAGTCCAATAGCTGAGGCAAACATTGCTCCAAAAATACTGAAAATGCATCTCAAAATCTCAAATGGGCAGCTGGAGACTTGTCCTAACTTTCTATTTTTAAGATACCTCTATCCTGGCAAGGCTGGGGTTGGAGCACGAGACCTCAGTTTTATTTGGCTGCATTTATCTCCAGAGGTCACTAAGAGCTAAGAATAAGAAGGGTCATTGAGTTCCCAACACTATTTGCCAGAAAATCAGGGGAAATTTCATTTCCCACCGTGGAAGCAATTGTAAAAAACACTGGCTCTGAGGCTAGCTACGGGGTTGTCACTGATTCTCACAGTATTGCTCTAAAGTCCCTCCTCTGTTCTCTCTCTCTCTCATGCACTTGCTTTCTCTCCCTCACCTCTTTCTTTCCCTCTCCTTCTCTTGTGAGTAGAACCCACATGAGATAGAGATTTCTATCAACAATTCTTACTGATCAAGAAATGTAGCCCCCCAAGTACACCTATTTGATATATTATCTGGGTCATGTGCCGATCCCATCCTCCAGACATCTGATTAAACTTTAGAGTAAGGCATCTCCCTAATTTCAGTGTAACCCAATAGCCTTCACATTGTAGTCACATGGAAAGTATGCATGATCTCATCACTGCTTTCTTAACTCTTCTCATTGGGACCTCCTTCCCCAAGAGATTCCGTACACCTCAGATATGACCAACATATTCTCTTTGATCTGACTTCCATTCTTCCTTCCTACTCCAGCCCTTCTCCTTGGAAGGCAGTGCTCTCGCCTTGGACCTCATTTGCCACCAAACACCCTTTGTCCCCCTCATCCACCATCCCCCTCCCCACAAGCTCACCAGCCAGTCATCAATATGACTCAGCCATACAGAAGCAGAGTTCCAACAAGAGGATCCCTGTGGCCATTCGTGCACTCCTCATTCCTTTAAGTTCTCATCCCTTGAAACTCCCCCTGGATACTCACACCTGGGATTGGTACAATACCCTCCTGTTTAGGAACTTCACAGCTTTCTGCCAATATCCAATTGCCAATTATTAAAGCCGTATTTTAACTGCTTGCTCACCTATTCATCTCTTTCCTCTAGATTTTTGGAGGAGGGTACTCTGTCCTGTTCTGTGTGATACAACCAACACTGAACCTGCAGTGGGATCTCAGTAACATTTGCATAAGGAACCTGTAATTCTCACTAGTATTGAGAGTCAAGGAAATGATGAATTCTCCAAAAGCAGTTTGAGTTTGATCTTAGGATGATCTACATTCTGCTGATAAATTTTCTTGGCAGAAACCTAGAATTAAAGTACACTTCCTATCTGTATACTCACTGATAATCTGCCATTTTTTTACGGGTGGTAGACAATCCATGATCCCATCTACTTGCATGGAAACAATGGAGAGAAGACTAACAGAGCTTCACAGCTGGCTGGAAAGTCCAGTGGGAGATACAAGTCCGACCTGACTCACATTTATTATACCGCCTGGGGTCCTGGGCATTTGCTTTAGCTGAGTAGTATTTGTGTATACCTTGGATTCTCACCATAACTGATAAAGTCATATCATGGTGAGAAGTGCTATTGAAAATGCAGTCAACATGGAATGAGCCACAGATCGGTAATACAGAAAGGTTGGATTTGGATGAACCAAATTATTGAATGAAGCTTTGTCTTAAATTAGACCTACACTCAACTTTTAATATGAGGCCATTAAAGTTCCGTTTTGTCCAAGCCAGTTTAACACACTGATCTGGTAAACATACTTAGAAGTGCTATTGGGAGATCGGTTGGCCAGAAGCAAGGTCAGAGACTGGTGCTCTCTACAGCAGACATATGCTTCTAGACCAAGTAAAGAAACAACTAGTGTCAGGCCTGCTTCTCTGCGATGCTGGTATTGTGTCTGCTACTCACAGAAGCAGAAGGCACGCTCTTGGAGTGATGTGAATTTCAGTGAGGGATCTCTCATTGGAAACTTCTACAGTCTTAAAGAACTCTGATTTCTACATCTCGGTTTGTTTTCTTAGCATGAGGAGTTGCAGCTTGATGATTTCTGTGATCATTTCTGCTTATAAAAGTGTCTTATTCGGGAATAAGAAGGAGGGAGTAGGGGTAAGGGCAGGTCCTGGGGAGGATGAATATGAGCAGAATAGTTATACACACTGAAACCCTCCAAAATATGAAATAAGAGTGTCAAGGGAGTGATGGAAGTGGTGGTGAAAATGATCAAGCTATGTTATATGCATATAGGAATCTACTAAAATAAACCCCACTAATAAATAAGAAAAGAATGATGCTGTAACTCTCATTTTTCAATGCCTGTTGTTTAGGAAAAATCTGTAGAGTAGCCTCCTGGTCCTATGGGAGCAGACTCAGATACTTCTGGGAAGGCATTCCACAGACCCTCTGTACTGTGGAATGAGGGCTTTGGGTCTCCAGAACCAAACACAGCACCATGGCCAGTCAGACAGCAGGGGTCCCCAGCAATCCGCAGCCTAATAGAATACCTACCTACAATATGACCAGATGTTAAAAAAAAAAAAAAACCTGAAGCATCTAGGCTGATATAAATAAATGGATAAATTTATTCATCTATTCTTGGTCTGGTCTCTGATTTTTCATCTTCTTTTGGTTGTCTAGGGTCAAACCCTGAAGTTACTGGTCCTAAGACCAGGATTCCCTCCTAGCTCTGTACCCTCATAGATTTGTACATCACAGATTGGTGACACCTGAGTTGGGAAGACAACATCATTTTCTCTTGCTCAGTCTCAAATTATTGAATCTGAACATAGGCTACCGTCTTACAGTGGCTGACCTTGGGTACCAAGCAACCCAGGTGGAAAAGCACAACAGACACATATAACAGGTTATCACTGCTATAAACACAAAGAAAATCACCACTTCTATAATGGGGACATTGGCAGATTTTACATAAGATGTTATCAAGGGTGGTCTGAGAAAGCCTTATATTGGTGCCACACTATCTTCCCTGTGTTTTTGTTATTATTGTAGTTATACTGTTTTTTTTGTAATATAGGACATAAGACATTTGACCGAGGTCTTTAAGGACTATCATTTAACCAGGGTACAAAAAGTTTAAATAAGCCCCCCTCCTTGTCTTTATTTGCCCTTCTGGGGTAATAATGAGGAGTTTTCTGTTTTTGGTTTCAGAGATCTTCATGCGATTATACTGCCTACCTCTTTCTAGATTTCTGTCTAAGCATGTCTAGGAGTTAGACTCTCCCTTAGATTTTCTGCTGTCACTTTAATGCCACATGATTGAAGTCAAATTCATTATATACCATATGTGCCACAGGATTAGATTCTCTTAGCATTTCCATCATCCTTCTCAATGAAACTACAATTTCCCAATTGCCAACTTCAGCCCTGATTCTGGAGTTTTCCTTCTCTTAGCCTCTCCACTATACCTCCTGTCTCCAACTTTGCAGTACCTCATACTACCTAGCTCATGTCTTCCCTTTCTCTTAATTCTTCCCATCACCCTGGTCTATGCCCAGAATTGTTCATGTCTTATACAGCAGTCCAGCTGCTCTCCCTGAGTTCTCCAAACTCCAATTCATCTCCCTCTTTGAGATCAGATCAGTTTTCCTAAATCACCCTTTATCTTCCCATTCCTTGCTGCTAAAAGAGCCAATATCTTGCTATTGTAGCCCATTAAAATTCCCATCAAATTTTGAAGCTTCCCATTCTGTACTCCATCCTAACCAAAAATCTACAACATTTAGCCTTATACTATTTTAGGAGTCTGCACATATATTTTATTTCCTATATTCTTCATCATAACTAGCTCCCAAGTATTCTTTGTGCTAACCACAGCCTGGCCCCTACATGTTTATCTAACACCCCAAATTCTTCCTCACCACCATGCCTTGGCCCATGGTGGACTCTTCTCACTTTCTGTCCCTTGATTCCTGGAAGCCCCTCCAGGAAGCATCCCCTTTCTATTCTAGGCCCCAATAATCGTCCCCTCCTCTGAACATCCTCAGTGCTCAGGTCCATATTATATAAGGTTCCACATGCTTGCTACTAACCTGATATTTCTTATCCCTTTTAAGGAGGGCAAAGCTACATAGTTCCTGGTCTGTTCCACAGTGTGCACCATAAGGCACTAAGTAAATATTTGTTGACTCTTTCAAACTGATTTATAACAACTGGCAGGGAGGAGCAAGAGAAGGAGAATGATGTAATTCCAGGTCATCTACATAATTATTTTATTCTACCGATCCCAGTCCTCTGTGACCCTTCTTTTCCAGATTACTTACCTGCAGAACTGAACCTCCTGGTCAAACTGTGAGTTTTCAGGCTGTGTCCCCTCCTTCAGCTGGCTGACATTGAAGAAGGAGAGGGTATGGTTCACAAAGCCATGCAGAGTCCCATTGTGGCTATAGGAGTACTGGTACACGAGGCGTGGGATAAAGTCAGAGGTAACAGCAATGACGAAAGCCTAAGGGACAGAAATACAAGCACTGAAGAGTAATCAGGATTGATGGGGCCACCTGACCAAAGGTCTAAATACACTTGGGCTTTCTAGCAAGAGGTGCTGCTGTGGTTCACAGAAGCACATGCAGCATGACTGCCTGGCCTTTCCTTCTGTGATCTGTGTGAATAAATCCACCAGATGGTGCCTGTCAAGGGAAGGAATTGCAATGAGTACAGCAAAGGATGCTAAGCCACCCTGGGCCACTGGGTACCAAAGCACTAATCTACATTTAAGCTACTTGAATGGACACCGTGGTTGGCCAAGCCAAATCAGAGTGGAAGGTATCCTAGGAGAATCACCTGTTGTGACAAGAAGGTTATGCAGGGCAGGAAGTTAAACAGCTATGATGGACATCTGCGCTGGGGGAACACCAGAAGACCAGGAGTATGAGTGCATGGTTCCCTCAACTTGATCATTATTTCTCAAGACATTGTAGCATGTCATATAATAGAAATTATTCTTTTATCCATTTTACTTAGGAAAAGTGAGACCTAGAGGAAAAAGGAGGAAATCCTGCTCTGTGGAGCCATACATACTCCACACAGCATCTGGCATATCTAAGTGCTCTATAAATGTCCATGGAGCAAACAAAACGGCCAGTGAGTGATTGCATGCTTGAAGGTGAAGGTGCTTTCTACAAAGAAAATCTTAAATCTTTTTGGCAGGTGTTTATACTGTAGTCTGCACCCACAATTAAAGACCCTTAAAATGTAGCTTAGATACTGTTTTCTAAATGTATATGCAAGTGCGGCTAGCCATGACCATATTTGAGAATGAATAACACATGTATAATATTCATGGCTACAACTTGCTGAGCACTTGTTTATGTCCTTTACATCCCATTTAATTTCCGTAATGATTCTGTTTGCTGAGTGCTATTCTTACGTCCCATTTCACAGATAAGTAAACAAGTCTCAGAGGACAGGGAGGTCAAACCCTGTGCCATTCTGTACTGGTGATAGAAAGTGGCTAGTTCAAAGGGCCTCTTGTCTAATGAACACGAATGAGAGTAATGTGTGTTCCAAATTTCACTTTTTTTCCTAAGCTTAAGGCGTGTGCTTCCTATGCCAAAACCTTCCAAACACAGGGACTGATTTTCTCTGCTTCTCTTCAGACTTCTCCAATCAGTTTCTGTGTTCTTATCAGGGAACCAGGCCAGATCAAGAATTAATGTTTCCCTCTCAAAGGAATCTGGGATGTGGCTTTCTTGATGTGCACCAAACTGATTGATATTTTCTTGAGAAGTGGGACAGGAGGCCCTGCTGTCCAGAACAAAAACAAAGGGGCTGTTGGCTGGGGCCCAGCAAGATCTCCTCTGCAACATGGTCATGTCTGGCAGGGCAGGTGAGGTCACACAAGGAGAAACAGCTATGTCCATGTCCTGTCCTAACCTACACTGTGCCACACTCCATGGGGATAATTAAGACTTTACATCGACAACTTGGAGGAACAGTAATTAGGAACTGCAGTCCGGGCAATACTCCAGGTATTATTTAACTCAGGAGTAGAGAAAGAAAGGAAAGAGATGGACAGATATGTAGAATTCTTTCCTCATTATTCTTGGCTCTGAAGAAAGATCTGATTTTTGACTATTAAGGCCAAGACATGCATTCTGATGGATAATTACCTCTCTTTCATTGAACTCTTAGGGAAATTTAAAAAAAAACTTGCACAGCCCTGGGGACCACAGGATGAGCTACAAGGCAGGCAGGCACCATTAACTAGGGGGAAATCTTACAAAGTTGCAAATGGAAAACGCTGAGAGGTAACAAAGGCTGGTTTCCTGCTTTGAAGAGCTCAACTCCAAGGAAAGCACCTCCCACAGAGCCAGGCTGTCCTGAATGGAAGTACTTACGTTGATGATAACAGAGAACTTGCCGATTCCGGAGAGAATGTCAAACCAAATTCCTATAAAACAGAAAAAGGGTATCAGACTCACCCCTACCCTCAAGGCAGAGATGACAAGCCTGTAGCTTGGGGTGATGTTCTGCAGACAAGTTACCAGGGCAGGTTGGCTGAGTCCCCAGGAGTGGGTTTGTCTGGAAAGGCTTTGGTCCCCCCGTCTGCAAGTTAGGGGGACAACTGGGGATGGATAAGGTGGCGTCCAAAGGTTCCAGCATCTGAGGATGTGAGGATGAGAAACTCAAAGGGGCAAAGAGACCAGGGTTTTTCAAGTCCTCTGGATTCCTGCTCAGGTTGAGGACAGTGGGAGGAGCCACCTACAGGGCAGGATATGGGTCTATGGCCTCTAAGTGGGTGACGTACCAATATCTTTGGTTCTCACAGCGTCCGGACGTCTCAGCTCTGTGACAAACTTTTTTGCATCTAGCCGTACTTCAATGACATTGTTGAGGAGGGCAAACACAGGTGCCAGAGGGAAGGAGGCCACAAAAAGGGTGACAAAACCAAACTGGATAACTGGGAGAAAAAACAGTACCAAAGGTGTCATCACAAGGAGGAAGCAGGCACTGGATTAAGACTGCCTTGTGCTGTGCCCCTAAATCTCTCATACCCAGGTCCTGTTTTCCTCCAGCACCCGTCCTTAGACTTTTCCTTCTCAATACCTTCAACCATCAGCACCTGCTGTCACTTGGGAAAAAAGCTCTGGATTGAGCACAGTAAGGAGCCATGTGAGAAGGAAAGATCTTGACTCTTTCCTTTCCAGAGTCCTTTATCTCATCATTAATTCTATTCATCTACTAAGAGATTGGCAAACTTACTCAGCAAAGGGCCAGTAAATGGGTGTTTTAGGATTTGTGGGCTGCATAGAATTATGACAACAACTCACCTCTGGTAGAGGAAAAGCAACCCAAGACAGCATATAAACAGGTGGGCTTGGCAGTATTCCAATAAAACTTTATTTACAAAAGCAGTAAACAAAGCAGGCAAGATTTGACCCTCAGGCCAGAGTCTGCCAATGCTTGATGAAACTTTAAAAACACATTTCCCAAACTTGGACTCTTCTTTTCATAACCATAGTCACTGCCTTTGTTTAGAAAGTGTATTCATTCATCACAAATTTATTGGGCATTCACTAAATGGCAGGCATTGTGCCAAGTATTTAAGAAGGCCAAGGTCTGGTCCTGCCTTCCAGGAGTTGGTTTAGAGCAGGGAGATAAATAGGCACAAAGATGTACAACTGGGTTTTCCGTTTTTGTTTTTAAATGTGTTCTGAGAGACAGAAAATGTGCCAAAGACAGAGAAAAACCAAAGGAGGCAGAACGCCTCCTTTTGGGGACTAAGGAAAGCTTTATAGGGAGTACCTAAGCACTGTCTGCCAAGATTGGCCTGTGGCATCCAGGAAAACTGAATCTCAGAGAGTGTGACAGGCTGCAGAAGCAACAGGAGCCAAGGTGTGTGGCAGCCTGTGCTGGTCAGACGGCTGGAAGATGCAGGTCCCTCTCCTGACCCAGGCCTTTGCTACAGCCTCCCAATTGATGTCCCTATGACCAGTTTTCGCAGGCTTCCAGCAAGTAGATCAAGCTACGTGACCCTGCTACCCACCTACTAGTCACGGTTGGTCTGGCCAATGGGGATGGGAGAGGTGAAGAAATCAAAAACAAGCTCTGGGAGCCAGTTCCAAATGCAGACTTTACCACATCTTTTACATGGTACTTTGCAGAGGAATTCACTTTGGAGACAGGGGGTAGGGTTAAGGGCAGAGTGGGTGAAGGCAGATCGAATAAACAAAGAAAACAAAACAGATGTTGGATCAGTTGTGTAAAACCTATAAAATGCATGTCTGTCTTTAAGTACATATATGGGTGTATCGTTATTTATGAAGTTCAAAGTTGATTTTCTTGATGCTAATGAGCTCAGCTCAACAGAGCAAGTGTTCTTATCATAGGTGACTTCCTCCACCGTAACTGTGTAAGCACTGCAGAGCTCCAGGAAGGACTTGGCAAGGAGTCTGGTGGGGAGGGAAAGGGGCAGTTTCCTCCTGAGTGATTGCAAATGCACACAGCACCCCCTCACCACATTCAGGCACATGACACCACAACAACCTCCCTGGATTATAGTGGAAGTGGGATTTCCACTCCTTCTCCTTCATAAGAACTCCAGGGGCAAAGAGGAAACGCTGTCCTCTAGAGGCGCTCTCACTGTTTGCTTTTTTACCTTCACAAACTCTCCAGACACAACTCTGTCTCCCTTCTATATCAACAAGTCATCCTCCCGTGATGGCTTGATGATCTCTAACAGTTCCCATCAACTGTTCTGATCCCATAAACAAAGGTCACATCTCTTTCCCCTGCCACTGGAGTCCATACGGTTAGTGCTGGACAACCCTGGGACAGTGGGTACAGCCAAAGCATGTGATGCTGAGCCTGCAGTGGGACAGCACTCCTGTCCCCTCCACTGCTGTTATTTCAGGGTACCCCATCCCAAGAAAAGCTACTTTTTGCAGATGTCCCCTTGCTATAAGATATCCTAAGCATTTGCAGGGTTTAGTCCAAAGAAGCAGAAACGAGAAGGCTTTGTTTTAATTTGGGGAAGAAAAAGTATACATAAAACCATAACCCTCTAGCATGCAAGCGCCAAACCTAAGACTTGCTCTATCCAGTCAAAGCCGTCTGTCAGATGCAAGCCCTTTGGGGTCACTGCCGAGGACACAATGATGCCGGCCTTCACCAACACCCAGATTTGTTTCTAAAAACAGCAAACCTGCCTTAGGATAAGAGCAACACCGGAAATCCTCAGTGCACTGACTAATAGAAGCCAGCTTGGCCTGACCAAGAACAGATTAAACCTGGCCAAGCCAATTAGGGAGGAATCTATAAGTTGATTTTCAGCTAAATCTTTACAAAGCCTGCTATAAAGTGCTCCAGAAATGCTGAGTTGGAAACACAAAGCCTGGAAATACTTCTGGGCAGAAAATCCCTTGGTTTTCTCTCCTTACATGCCAGCAGCCAAGAGCCTTTGAAAATAACCACTGGTCCTACACTTCCTTATGCAGGAGACAGCTAAAATCGTGAGCGACTACCTGGGCTTAGGTTAAAATAACAAGGAAGAGTGGACTAAACAAAACAAGACAGCATCCAGCAAGGACATTCCAGGGCAATCTGCTCTGAGAAGTAAAACAGTAGAGTAGACAGAATAGAATGGGCCGGCCAGCACTGGCGGAAAAGATCTTCATGGAACAAATCTCTGACTTCCCACTCATTTACTTAGAATCCTTCAAAGAAAATACCCACCCTTCTGTTTTACACACACACACACACACACACACACACACACACACTCAAAGCCCCAACCCTAGGCCTGGCATTCAAGGCCCTTTCTGATGTGACCATAACTTCTTTCCCCAGGCTCACTTCCTCTCCCATATTTTGTGCATGCTCAGAGCTAACATTTAGCTGGAACGTTAGAGGTCAACTCTGCTTGCTTTCCAACTATTTCAAACCATCTGCACATTTCTGAGCCTTTCTATCCACCACTATTCTCTGTAACTTCCTTATCATCTGTTCTGCTGAGTGAATTACTACTCATCTTCTAGGTTCAAGTCAAACTTAACCTTCCCTCTGAGACTCACCTCTACCCCCACCCTCCACCAGCTCACTCAGGTGGTCTTGGAGGCAGTGCTCCTTTCCTCTTCCTTCCCATATTGCCTTGCACATACCACTGTTTATTTGACCTAATAGAGGATAAATCCCTTGAAACCAGGGAACATGCCTGACTTTTGAGTTCTCATGATCTTCTGCGGTGCCTGTCACATCACAGTTTTCTTATGATATGATATTGCTTAATATGAAGTTTTCACCAGCTATGAAACACACAGCTACACACACACACAGAGCAAACTAGAATAAATTAACTAAGCACACTGCACCTAACCCGGGTGCAGAGGGATGGAGACACAGAGATTACTACCTGGACATGATGGTTCTCATTGCTGTGATCTCTACAGAGCACTGTGAAGAAATCTGGAGCAAAAACATTCAATTCTAATGCAAATGATCACAGTACAGCTTTACAAAGAAATTCTATAGTTTAGTAAAAGCAACACAATCTCATCACAGGGGTTGAAAGTAGAACTTTAGAACCCTCCCTTTTGGAGCCACACACGAGCAAGGCCAGAGAATCACCAGGCCCTTCCCCAGTCACTCAGGGAGTTTTGGAGGAGATCTGCTAAGAGCAGCCCATGTATAGAAACCTTATGGAGAATCAGCACTATCAGCTTCATCAGCCCGTACTTCAGAAGCATGCTCTGTGAGCCCCTTCTTCTAAGGGGAAGGAAAGGCAGCTGTGCTCTGTGCTGAGGGCATCTGGCACAAAAAGAAGTGCAATGTTGAGGGACCATTTAGACAGGACAGTGCAAAGAAAGGGCTGCCTCCTCAGCCCCAGTCTCTGCTGCTTAGGAAAACAGCAGAAGGCTTAACAAAAATATGAGTTCTCAATATCCACTGCCCACTACTCATTCATTCATTTATTCATCATTCAACAAGCATTCACTGAGCCTGTCCTACACATTGCACTCCACAAAGATGAGTGGTACTGTTTGAATCTGTCCCTCAGAGTTCATGTGCTGGAATCATAACCCCCAGTGCAACAGTGCCAAGGCACTTGTGAGAGCTCCCTGGGGCAAGAGGACCTCTCCCTCCTGAGTTAACACTTTGGTCACAGAGTGGCTTAGCTGCTGGGAGACAGCGCTCATTGGAAATGCAAGTTTGGCCCCTGTCTCTTGGGCTTTCTTGCTGTTGCACCTTCCACCATGGATGATGCAGCACAAAGCCCCAGAGCCACGCTCTTGGACTTCCCAGCCTCAGAACCATAGCCAAATAAACTTTTATTGTTTATAAATTACCCAATCTCAGCTATTCTGTTATAGCAACATAAAACAGACTAAGACAAATAGACTACTGTGTTATCCTTCCAAGAGGCTGGAGTGTGCACTGGGGCAGACAGACGTGTAAACAAACCCTGACAATATCCTGCCTGCAATTAGAACAATCATGGCAGTGCTCATGGGTGCTGCAGAGTGCTGGGAAGGAAGGACTTGCTCACACAACAGATGTCTGGAGGCCTGCAGAATTCATAATCATGGTCTTGACCTGAGGAACACATAAAGGAGATACATGAAATTTGCTATGTGGTTGGTAGTTAAGATCTTTCCTGCAGCACTGATCCAAATTCATAAACTACTTAGGAAATAAAAGCAGCAAGAGGAATTCCTTGTCCCTGGGCCTAGAGTCACCTGGGTTGAGCTCCATTTAGAAATCCCAAGAACTTTTAACAAGAAAGGACAGGTTTGCAGCCCTCAGCCCCAGAGTTAAGTGTTTACAGTATGAAAATTAAATCAACCCTGGAACACATCAGCAAGGTGCATTTGGCTCTGACTACTTCGGATTTCTTTGTATTTAAAGGAGGCTCAGTCACCACTTCTGCCCCAGCCCTACACCAGGAGGGAGCACTGGGTGGGT